ATAGAATCATCCTTCCATAGGGGCAGCCAGTGGCATGCATTTTCCTAGGTACCGCTGCAATCCTCTGATGAGAGGTTTACCAGTCCCCAGAGTTTCAATTCTCTTATTCATGTTCACCATGTTCGGCGTGGGGCGTCAATGTACTAGCATCCCCGTTCCTACTCAACCCCTATTTCTTTTTTAAAAAAGTTTTTCAAACCGCTTCAGTGTCTTTAAAAACTGAAAACACAGAAAATCTGGCGATAATGCGACTACGTTGGAAACAAAAGGAGGTGTGTCATTCAGTTAAGCTGATTGCAGTCAGCGAGAGTCCTTGCAGATTTGGGTCGATCCATGTAGACCGATGGTGCCTGTGGAAACGGGGCATTTGACTCGACTGAAGCAGTAGTCCAATTACATGAAATGTTGTATCTCAGTGGTGGTATAATTGGAAATGCATTGCTTATGTTTCGGGCTAATATGTATGTAATTTCAGTGGGCTTACATGTATTTATCTTGAATTAAATTAGACTAATTATATGGCCCTTTCGTTAAACCGCCCCTTGTCACCATTAACTCGCCTGTTAAAATGAAGGATTAGATTAATCCCTTGCTTTTATCACTGGAAAATGAATGAAGCTGTGTAGGTTTTTTTTTTTTAATTACAGCCGTAATAAAGGGTGAAAATAAGTCATCTTGCTTAAGATTTGTCTCGTATGCCACCCAACGTGTGAATGATGAATGGTCTCTCAGATCATGTGCACTATGACCTATCCCGTGGCCAAGCGATGAACCTGTGTGCCGCCCATCTGTTGTAACTTTCCATGTGTCTTTGTCACGAGTGCGGGTGTCAAGTGCATGTTGTTCAGTACACTAAAATAAACCCCGGACTTGTAAATCATAATTTTAATGGAGTCGCTTGCTTGTGCACTTGACTCGTTTTTTTTTTTTTTTTTTGCCTTACACATGTACATATATACCTGTATGCTTTATTCATACTTTCTACACCCAACCGAGCTGGAGAAAATGTACAGAGATAAATAATAATAATAATAATAATAATAATAATAATAATAATAAAGAAATTTTTATACAGATAAATAGCATTAAAATTATATATATATGTGTGTGTATATGTGTGTGTTTGCACCGTAATCATAAACCAGGTGCGATCTTAATGCAGAGTCAACTGCTCACAGCCTTGATCGTACGCTATTTATACATGACTATAGAAGTGAATTATGCACGAGCCTACTCAGTGAAATGAATCTTAATATTTACAGCAATTATTTATAGCCATATACATCACTAAGCGGAAGATGCAGCAAAGTTTCTTTTCTTCAAGAGCGATGTTAAGGGATTTGGCCAAAGACATTTCTCGTCACTGTCTCGTTTGGGTTACAAGTACGTTATGAGGGAGAATTTATCTTTGTTGTTTAAATGTGTAAAACGTGTGGCCGCTTTGTACTACTTGAAAGTGTTCTTTTTTGTATGCAGTGTATGGAGGACAGGTAATTCAAAAGTGCTGTTCATCCTCTATAACTCCAGTGTGGCAAATTTCAATGTGCAAATTGTGGCTGCTGATTTTGAAATGGTTAGGGTTTGGCGTTTTTCTTTATCTTGAATTATATCAAGGCATTTTTCTGTCTCTATATTACTTGTAATTATATAACGCAAGTGAACTTGTGCGATTAGAGTAATAAGTACTTTTCTAGAATGCAGTGAACACAGAGCCGAACGGGAAATACTGGTCGCCTCCGTACCAGAGGTGAATTTGCAGAGTCCAACATACAATAAACCATCAATTTTACTCAATCCACTCTCTGCCCAGAGTGTGAGTGCCACATGTAAATTTGTAAACAGTGCAATTAAAAAACGTGTATCCCTGCGTGGATGAGCATAGTTTGCTACTTAAATAATTACTTTATACGTGTATTTGTTAGAGAGCCTGTAAATGTAAACCATTTCTTTGTGCTCAATTTATTATTATTATTATTATTATTATTATTATTATTATTATTATTATTATTAATAAAGATTTGTATGTACCGCGAAATAGTGCAGGACTGGATCCATCTAATCCACCAGATAAGAAATTGGGATATAAGCCTTCGGAATTAATATAGGAAGGATCAGATTTAGAGAGACCGCTTGTGAGAGCTAAGGAGACGGACGCGAGTTGTGAGAAAGGGTTCAGAAGTTGGAGAGTTCACCAAGAACATGTAGTTAGCGAGCGTCAACAAATAAATCGTTAAATTGGTCATCATGTGCCCTCGGTTTTCTTTGAACCACCTTACGCAAATCCGACACGAACCATGGAATTTCGGATTGCGTATTGCGCGGTATTAAAATATTTCATTACATATTTATAAAAGTTTCATTGCAATAATTTGTGTTGTACAGTATAAAGTTGCCCTTGGGACTCCGGAAATCTTCCAGCCGATTATAATAATAAGTTTATTTAGCACTAAATGGTATGAATACATTTGCAGGCTCACTAGACTACATTATTTACACAATATATAAAGGATATACATTTATATATGTTTACATATGTATTATGCTTAAATTACACGTGTTATTGCGTGTTATGCTATAAGATTAATTAATTCATTAAGCTATTCACAGCATTATCAACAATTAGTGGCTGTGATGTAGGCCTACTATATTGTAGGTGAACAATGTATTTTAACAGCAGTTTTTACAATAATTCTGCTATAACTTTGAGACTTTTCTCACAGGGTGGATTAAAGAGAATTGACAATATCTGATCACTGTCCTCTAGACCCACTACACTGATTTTCAATAGCTCATCAGGCATTCGTTGCCTTTCAACAGTGTATCTTGTACATTCCATGAGGAAGTGTTTTTCATCCTCTACGCAGCTGCAAGCTTTACATTTTCTCTCATCAAGTGGAGTTTTAGGGTTTGTGTATCGGTCCCTTTCTATTGCCAGGTCGTGGTCACTTAGTCTAATTTTTGCCAGTGTTTTGATATCTAAGGAGGAGACACTCATTTTGATGTAATTTTCACATTCATAAGCTTTTTTAATTGTTTTGTGTGTCCTTAATTTGTTTGAGGTCCAGCTGTTTAATTCCTGCCAAAAGAGTTTTTCGATTTTTATGTTCAATTTTTCTACTAGGTTTTCTATTTGATGTATTTTCTTTGGTGAGTTGCTATCTTCGGAGAAACCCCAACAATAGTGAAAAGATTGGATGGATTCTGTCCATGTGTTTCCCCTTGTATCTTGCTCAAGATTGTAGGGCACCTGCTTTACAATTCTATTATCTGGCAGTTGTTCCAGTCATGTGATGACAGGCAGTTGTTCCAGTCATGTGATGGCAGGCAGTTGTTCCAGTCATGTGATGGCAGGCAGTTGTTCCAGTCATGTGATGGCAGGCAGTTGTTCCAGTCATTATCATGTGATGTCCAAATATGATGTAACATTTTTTCTGTGCTTTTGGCACAACCATGGGATGATATTCTGTTTATTTATTTATTTATTTATTTATTTTTTAACCGGACTCATTGTCGCGGCTGACATAAAGATAATCATCAGGATAAATTATGTGACACAGACAGACGTGACGTCGCTCAAGAGTCTTTGTGTACCATTGGGCACATTTTCAATGAATTTATCGTTCTACGTTAATCGATCCAACTCTTCGGCGACTCTCGCTGAATGCAGTGCAAACACGCCTCTTGTTTCTAAAGTGCTCGTATAACCACCGGTATTCTACTCAACGCCAAGAGAATCTGTTCATCTGATTCTATTCAGTGACAGTCCTGCGGGGTTGGATCGATCTACGTAGACCGATTATTTCATTGGGAATGAGCCCTTTGCAGTTTTTTTGCGTTATACTGATACTATGTAATTTCAAGTAATTAAGAATTTTGTTTGTACCGATAAATCTTACACTCCGAGCAAAATATTTGTTAAGTTGGATATGTAAAAAAGGCCATTTTAACAGTATGTTTTGAGAGAATTAAGAAGAGACAGAATAGAGTTACATGTACAAGAGAAAGTTCTGAGGTTCGAGACTTCACGTCAAGTACCTTCGACTTAATAATAATTTTAAGTATCACCGGTCATTTTGTCGGCTGATTCTGTGTACACACTTGGCGTTTCTCTGTGCTACCCTTCATTTGGTCAAAAGGTTTGAAACTTCGAATCGCTGAAACTTTGGATCGCGTTTTGCGTATAAAGGTACTCGTATATAAGTTAAAAGCATAGGCCAAATGTCTACTTTCGAGACCAGGCTTAAATTAAACTGTATACTAAATAAAGAGAAATTTGAGACATGATTTCATATTCCATAGGATTCTGAATATTCTTGTCCACTACACGCGTACGCTACCCCACATACATGTAATGTAGGGTACAGATCTTAAACGGTTCCTTGTCTTGGGATTAAAGGCCCTACTTGTAATTAACTTCTAAATACAACACATGCCCAGGGCTGCTCTAAATTTAAGAATCTTAAATTGTGTTTGTGTTCAAAGTATTGTGTTCTGGTTTTTCTTCTGATAAAAAAACTCGCCTGAATAAACGATTTACCCAGCCGTTTATCGTACGTGTTTAGTTTTGTGCGGTGCATAATGATATGATATTATAAAATTATTGTCATGAAATATTGTCATGTTGGACTTGGGGGCATTTTTTTCTCCAGTCTTAGAATTGTCTTCTTGGCTTAGGTAGATGGCTTACCAGAACTTCAATTTACCAATGTTTCAGCTTGTTCTACGGATACTTAAAAAATTCTCAGATAAACTGCCTTACCCCCGAGTTTCGCAAAGACAGTATGTAATAAGTTGCCATTCTCAGTCCATATGTCAAAACTGAGAAATGTCTCTTCACTTCCCCCAACTTATCGGATACTGTTAGTGTTAAACACATGTACAAGGTCTAATTTAAAATATGCCTCCAACATCACCGCGACAAGTGCTACAGAGTAAAATGACGTCACTGCAAACAGTCGCGAATACAGTAATTGTACCGTCTTGAATTGGATGCTCTTCAATGCGAGAAGACAAGAAAGTGTCAGTGCTGCCGGCTGTGTCAATGAAACTTCTTCTGTAACATAATTATGTAGCTTAAATTTCCATTTGAAAGAAAAACCTCTAATGCCGGTTATGTCGGACGAAGAACGACTCATGGTTCAAGCCCTCGCTTTAGATTTTGGTAACGATGAGGACTATGAACTGGACGTTCCCCCAACCACCGGACAAGAATATTTACGTCGGGTGCAGTAAGTGAGGGGCACGCTTTTTTTCTGAATCTTAATCTGAATGGGGTTCGACGCAAGTCCTGTACACGACGCGAGAGACGGTGTATGTCGGCATTACTCCATGAGGACTGCTGCTTTGAAAGTCAGCAGACAGTAGATAAACTATACAGTCCTCAGGGTGGCTCCAATCCAGACTATTTTAGTAGAAAAGAGTGCTGAAAGATATCTGTCTTGCCTTGAAGGGGATAGAAACATTTGCGGATTTTTTTTAACCAGGTTAACTGTGGGGGGAATCCTTGGCTTTAACTATGCGTTTACTCATGATCAGGTAGTCCTGATGACGCATAGATAGCATGAGAGTCTTAAGCTCAAATTATAAAATAAATACACTGTAAGTTTGAGAGCTTTTCCTCTGTTGCAGAATGTAGTTGGACCTAGGTTTTATAGCATTTCTGAGACACACCCTGGTTTTCTGCCACCATAATTACCTGTAATTATCCCAGACTATGAAACTGTATTTCAAAGATGGAACAGAGTAGGGATTGATAGGTTTATTTTCTGCAAGATAAGGGGCAGTGCTTAAGATTCCTTTTAAGGAAACACAGTGACAGCTAGCTTTTTTGGTTTTATTGCTGATGTGGGGGTCCCATTTCAGATCATCAGAAATGGTACTGTACATGTACGTGACTCCAAAGAGGGGATTTTTTAAACTTAATCTAATACATGGTTGTTGTACTGGTAGAACTGGGAGTATTTTTGGTTGACTGAGAGTATGTAGCATTTCTGTGCATTATAGGACATATGTTGAAACCAGTGATTGGAGACAGGTCCAGTCTTGTTGATGTGGTCATTGATGCCTCTAAGGATTCTGGAAGGAAGTTATTATCATTTTAATGATATCTGGGTTCTTCAGTATAATTTGAAAGATTTTTGATTGCCTTTTTTCCTGCAGGAGATCTGTGCTTTTGGAATTCTGTCTTGTTTTGAATCATTTTTTCTTTCACACAACTACTTGTTTCTTGCAAGCTTAGGCCAAATTCTATGCATAATTTCCATGGATAATCACTTACTTCTCAATTATGCATAGCAGGATAACACAATTATCTATTAAAAACTTATCTATTAAAAAAATTTTGAATAAAGTTTTTATTAATGACTTTTTAAAGTGAGTGATCAAGTAACATTCTAATTTCTACACTATTTGTTTTAATTAATTTTTCTGTTTTGATCAATTTTTTACTGGTCTTTTTATTATTTTTTACACATTGTATTGTAAAGTCTGCTGAACAGATTTGGATTTTAGCCTCAAATAAATATTATTATTATTATTATTATTAATATTGAAAGTAGGATCATTTAAAATTTAGAATTGATTTTAATAAATTCATTTGTTAATATTTCAGATATGAAGCCAGAAAATGTCCCCAAGTGGTAGTTGCTGATATTGACAGAAAGGCATTCTTAAGGAAGCAGACAGTCAAAGTTACCAAAGTACTGTAATAATGGATTTCAAACACCTTAATTCTCTTGATAACATATTTGGTTCAGATTGATTGTTTTAACACACTCACTCCTAAAGTGAAGTGAAGTAAACCCATGCTGTTAACCAATCTTGGAATTTTTCTCCCATACAAGCCCAGGTCATTCAAAACACCAAGACACCAAAAATAGTATTTTTACCTCAAAACTGCCGATTGGACATCATCATCATCAAAATTCCCGTACTTTTCTGATAACAAACAATGCCCATAATATTTATGTGATGATATAATAACAACCGTTTTTATATAGAGTTGTTTTTTTTTAGCCTGATTTTGGCTAACAGGGTATAAAGCCTTAAATAATGACAATCCTGTATGTTGTTATCTCTTATTATCAATGGCATTATTTGCCTGTGTTAAAATTTGGACAAGTAGCACTTCGGGCAATGGGTGTCTTAAAGTGGGCTGCATTATGTAAAATTTTAACTTTTTACTAGCCTAGTGCCTCTTTAAACGGACGTTTGCTTCAGGCAAGTGCCTTGCCACACAAAGTACATAATGCACATTAGATATTATGCCTTTTGGGAGCTGTTTCACTTAAATGAATTTTATATTGCTTATTAATTAATTAATTTATATGTTATTTTCCATGTCAGTCCAACGGTTGCCAACCAGCTCCTCATGGTTACACGGAAGATCTTCATTGGCAGGAGACTCAAACCGCCAACTTTTCTGATGTCAGACAGGTACTTTGTGGTGTGTTAAAGGGAAACATTACTTTCTGGGACCTAAAAAAAGAGTAAAATGATGATTTGACTAATATTGAGGGTACCTTTATCCTTTTGTCCATCTTGTTCATCCTCATTCGGGCTATTTTAAGCTATGGTTTCTTTCCCTCTAATACAAAGATGGTAATGTTGAGAAATCTCTACTGGAGTGATTATGTCTTTTGTTTAGTGTGGATATAAAGCTCAATAAAGTGAAAATATTCACATAAAATAAATAGTCGGTGTCCTTATTTCTGAGATTGGTGACCAAAAGATGTGGAGCGATTTTCAGGGTGACTGTGACAGACCCACTTCACATGACTCGATCCCCCACGCCTTGGTCTTTCTTGCTTTAAAAAGGGAGCAGTATTTCAATTGATGGGACTACAGTTGATTTATATTGGATCTAAGTAAACTTAATTGATGGTCTATATGTTGAGACCTATTTTCAGACTAAAGTAACTTTGTGAATCTTGCCATTCGCACCATTATTTAGTATCTTCTTTGATATTTTTCCAGAAATTAGTTCAGTACAAAGCAAGGCTAAAACAACAAACCCCACCTCCCGCTCTTCATTATAAAGGAGCACCAATAAAATTGGTATGTAAGATCATTCTTTAACAAAAACAAAGTTGGCCTTAATCAAAACTCTTGTCAGTCTTTTTTATGCATAACAGTATCAGCATTTTACTTTCATAATATATTTTACAACTATAGGGGTGCAATTCTTTACAACTAATGACACATCCACACAAACTCTAAATAATGTTTTTAGAAATGAAAAAGCTATATGCACTATATATATATATAGAGAGAGAGAGAGAGAGAGAGACAGAGAGAGACAGAGAGAGTCCACTCTTTTACACCCCATTTCCATAGATTAGATCGACCTGACTCCCTGGGGGTTCACACTAAATAGCTGTCAGCCGGGCAGACACGAAAGTTAATTACCCCCTTACAGCTTGTAGTAGGCGGGACAGACATTTAAGTCGGATTATCTGAAAGTAAGTGAGACTCCCCGCGGGGATAGATCGATCTAAAATCTATGGGAATAGAGCCTTAGCTGCCACAAAAGCTTGTCCTGCACATCAAAACACCTGGTTTTTTTTTGGTCAGGAATTGAGGATCAATGAAAAAGATCATAGATTATTTACTATTTTATCTGTATTTTTACATATTGACAACAGCCACAACCAGACTATCCTGAAGGGTGGTGCAGGCTGTGTTTTGGGAAGTTTCCTGGACAGAAGATAGATAGCAGCACTGTAGAAGAGGAGACTGGTGATGATCAAGAGAAGTATCCTGATGGGACACCTCCATTAGTTAGCATAATTGCCTCAATGGATCAGGTAATATATTTTGACTGATAAACTGTACATGTGCTTAGAATAATTATTTTCTGATAAACGGATCGATTTTCAACTTGTCCATCATAAGCCTTGTATTGAAAATTCTGTGGAGAAAAAACAGATGAACAAATAAATGGGTAGTAGAATAAGGTATTTATTCAATATTTTTTCTAGCCAGCTGTGTTGAAAGTACTTGAATATCATTTAAACTGGTTTGAAGCCACAGGGTTTTCACAAGAGCAGGTTGGTACTTATGGCAGTAGTTATCTATAGTATTTTTTTTTTTTGTTATATTTATAGGGAATCATCCTTTAGCCATTTTAAGTCATTTCTGAAAAGCTAAAAGTGACAAAGCTAAATCAGTAATGATGAAAATGATGAATTGTTATAAGTGGGTAGGGAAATATTACAGTACATATTTCCTTGGTCCCTTTTTAATCATTTTAGCACATTGTAAAGAAAAAATATCACTAAAGCAGCTCAAACTTCTGACCAATTGGTTTTATAAAAACCATGCTCTTCCTTTGGCCTGTAGTAGTACATCCTTATATATTGTCTACCTTCATTCAGGGGCGTTGGTTCTATGCTTTGTTGGCAAGTCTTGAGAAACCCCTCACGCCAGAAACCTGCTCATTGTTAAGAACTCTGGCCAGGAACTGCTCCAGTCTTAGGGCAACACTGGTAAGTTAGTAAAATAGAATAATTCTTCACTTCGAGACTAAATAACATCAGTCAAACATCCTATCCACAGACCATTGTATGCTGGTAAGCTAGTTAAGGGCGCATTCCCATAGATTTTAGATCAATCTATCCCCGTGGGGAGTCTCACTAGATTACTGTCAGATAATCTGGCTTAAATGTCCGTCCCGCCTACTACAAGCTGTAAGGTGGTAATTATAACTTCCGTGTGCAGTCGGCTGACTGCAATTTAGCGTGAACCCCCAGGGAGTTAGGTCGATCTAGTAAGATCAATCTAAATCTCTGGGAATGCCCTCTAAGTCTGTGAACCAGTGATATGGACTCAATGAAGTTACGGCAATCACAAACTACTGCTTTGCCAAAAATTTATGTTTGATTTGGAGTAAGAAGATGATTTTAATTTAAAAGAATATATATTTATAATAAAAAAAAAACCAATTTTCTTTAATGATAAGGAGGGCAAGAAACACATACTCAGTATTTCTTTTGTTTACATTTTCAGCCCTCTCCACAACATCCTTTATTGCGGCCACTTAATCTACTAATTACACTGGTCGCCAGGTATTTTGGACAGATAGACCTGGCAGATAATGGATAAAACTGGTTGCTGGTTATTTAAGGCAGATAAAACTAGCTGGCAGACGCTGAAAAAAGCTGGTTGCCAGGTTATTCTAGGCAAAAGGACCTGGCAGATGATGTATAACCTTTTAAGTCATAATGGAGAAATTCCATTAGCTGTGCTATTCTAACTTTTTATCTTTGAAGTCAGGGGAATCATGTGGTGCTGTAATTTGTGTAAATATGTGATTTTTTAATATCAGAATAAAGCAATTTTATTTTATGTGGTATGTTAATTTTTTTTCAGTCGGCCTCCTTGGTTCTTTGTGGTATTAAAACCATGTGTGTCAAATAGATTATCATCACTGTATTATTGATACTCTATTAATATTTGTTGAGAAACATGTTTAGTAATTCTGATAAACCAGTTTAGGTTAATACAAGTTGGAGATTTGATAAAGTGCCACACATTAACAAACTATTTTAATAGAAGCTAATTCTCTAAAATTGAAGAAAAAATTTTGCAGCACATTTAAAGTTGATATATATACATTTACTTTGACACATGTATCTTATCACGGATTTTCCACTAAATTCAATGTTTCACAAAAAAAAAAGAAGAAGAAGCAATTTCTCCTACTCACAAGTCATTGCTTAACATTTGAGAAGATAATATTGACATCTGGTACAATTTTTTTTTTTGGGGGGGGGGTATTTTTTAAAGGTCTTAATTGGAAAAGATAAGTATTTTTGCAAGATGTACATGTAGACGAAAAAGGAGTTTGTTTTAATTGCAAGTTCTAGGGGTATATACTAGTACTGTAAATGATTTTATGGTGTGGTGAAGATATAAGGTATAAAAAGATGTCTTTCTCCCTTACACAAATTACTTGTCAACCCATCCCTGCTCTTGGATTCTTTGTTTTTATACCATTTCTAACTAAAATGTAGACGGATGGTACACATGTACCTTTAAATTTATGTTAAAATTTACCTCGTGTTACATTGATACAACTACATACATCAAACATTTGGCCTTAATCAGTCACGGAATGAAGAACATCCTCTGCCCCCCCCCCCCCCCCCCCCCCCCCCAGCCCAATATTTTAATTAGATAAACAGTCAACAATAGTGATTAGCACAATTTCAGCCGATTTGTGTGATCAATGAGCACACTAGCAGGTCTTGAGCGCAATCATTCCCAAACAAAACAACGATGAATTGCTTAAGTGCGACCTCGCAGATGTCGAATATAAAAATCGGTACACCTTTTTGTGTGACGGTTACATAAGTCAACATTGATCGACAAAGGGGACTTATTTTGTCAAATAGAAAATTGGCGAGACCGTTTTGGAGCACCTGCGCACGAACCAGTAATTGGGTCATATCACCTGAATACCCTTTTTCAATGGTAAACGTGACATCCGGGCACTTTGTTCAAATTTAGTGTTTTCTTTGGTCGGGTGTGGATGCTGTAGCTGTCAATATTTCAAAGAGCTTGCATATTTTTGATTCATAATTTTCCAAACGACGCACCGGATTTAAAAAAGGAAGACGTAAGGATTGTATCAAGAGAGGCGTTTTGATTGAAACACCCAAGCTGGCTCATTAAAAAGATCCCGAAATCTAGGTAAAAGCCGGACTTGGTGACTTTATAATGGGTTGTACTCAAAGCAGCGAGGATAAGCAGCAGTTTGAAAGGTCGAAGGCTATTGACAAGGCTTTACGTGCAGATGGAGAGAGGGCAGCTAGAGAAGTTAAACTTTTATTACTCGGTAAGTAGAATTGGTATTTTGACAGGGAGGGCTGATGGTTGACGTCTGTCCGGGCTGCAAGTTTCGCCCCACAATTTGACAATGAATGACACGCGGAACCACATTTTCTGACAGAGATGAAAGGATACATATAATTAGCAAGAACAATTACTGCAGCAGTAATGAAACAAGGTTTATGTGTTAAGGTGCTCCTTTAATGAACCTTGTATACGTTATTATTATCATTATTATTATTATTATTTTGTTATGAAGATTTTCAAATTATGACTAATTTAACGTATTGATATAACTGAATTTGCTTTGTTCGTGAACGCTTTCTGGCAATTCTGCACTCAGTCCCATTCTGCACGCTCTTTTGACACCTACAATAATTCAATAAAGATCAAGCTTTGTTAGGAGTGGCAGCTACTGTTGCATTTTTAATGTCTAATTGTCCAAATTATGATTAATTCATGCATCAAATCTGGTACAGTTCTGTTTTCCACCAAGTATTAGAAATATCCATTGTGCACAATAACAATGATTTACTATATTAATCCCCTTTTTACTGCCCTCATTGCGTATTACAATAATTAATCATATCAAAAGGCCAGGGCCTTATTTCAGCCCCCTTCTCTATTTGACTTCTTTTCATTTCTTTAAAAAAGTCCATGACACTTCTCATAGCTTCATATAAGGAAGAAGGTGGTTCAAAAGACATGAACTTTTGCAAGTGCAAATAACTTGGACTGATTTTAACTGTTGTATTGAAGAAATTATAACAAGTAAATGAATTACGTTTTCATACCCCATTCCCACAGAAAATAAGTGTGTGGCCTGAGTGCTGCATAACTATTAACAGAAACCAAAGGATAACCACTGGCTGCCTTGATTACCATATGTGCATAGGGGTTTGATGACTCATTTAGTCCTGGCCTAATTCAGGGCTAAAACAATTATATTCAGGTGACAAGTACAAAACGCAATAAATACCTGTGTAGCATGGCATGCAAGCGGTTGGTTCTCATAACAATTAAGATTAACCTGATTGTTGGTTTCACCCCCCACCCCCCCAAAAAAAAAAATTGTCTAGTTTAAATTTTTAGACCAAAAATTCTTTCTCCTTTAGCTCCAACATCTTTTTTTTGTTTTAAATGAGTGTAATATTTCATTTACAGTTGAAATGTGGACTCTGGTGGTTTAGCTTTGGTCAGAGTAGACTAAGAGTTTTATTTTAAAAGTTCCGACCAATTTTCAGGCTAAAATTTTGTGAAATGATACCCTGTTGCAGCTCACTTTTTTATCCCTGCACTTGGACATGGGTTTTTTATTTTTATTTTTATGTTCTTAAGTAAATGTTATAAGAACCACTTTCAGTAATATTATGAATATATTTGTAGAATTGTTATAACATGGTGGACAGTAAGTTGGAAAAGACCGTGCAAGAACATCCTTGTAAAATGGGCATTAATGAAAAAGAGGTAGCATCCCTCCATCAGTTTTCTTCTCTATTTTATTGAAAGACAAGGAAGTGGAAACCCTACACTGATACATTTTTAACTAGTCCAATATTTGTTGGCTCTTGTGGTGCAGCATTCTCGCTTGGGATTAATTTAGACTGGAATTGAATGTAACACTTTATCATCACTTTAGTTTGGCCTCTTTGATCTCATCTTTTTACAGATATATCCAAAAGAAATATGATTATCTTCGTCGATTTACTGTAAAGTAGTCCGTGTATAGGTCTATGCGAAGTAAGTCTGCAAGTCCGTAATCTAGCTTAGCAGGTGTTGTGAAAGTCGTATCGATGAGTTAATGGCCATTTGGACTTCAAATAACGGCCTTGGAGAATTAAAGAAAATCTACAGTGATGGCTTTCTCATAAATTGAAAACAGCCCTGATATTCTGAAAGTCTTGTGAGAATTACTTTGAGATTATGTCTGTTTTGTATGGTCAGTGATTGTTATTTTATTTTTCTGGAAATGGCCTTGTGTCTGTTTGGCAGGGATTACTAGGTCTGCTACTGATTTGTGCCATTTTAACCATGAACACATTATCATCTGCATGTTTGGTTAAACAGGAAACTGCTTCTGAAAGGAAGTGTTACTGATTTCTAGTTTAAAAAAAAAATGAAAACAGTGACAATTTTAGTCAGGAGTGCACCAGTGGGTTATCCAGGATGTGTCAACAGATTTTATGGAAAACCCAAACTGGTTTTGGTCCGAAATGCATCACAGAATGATCACAGTCAGATCTGTTGAAACAAAAAAAAAAAAAAAAAAAATGTAGATTTTGTGGGGTAAGTGGCTTTTTATTAGCTGTAAGAGAGAGAAAATGTTAACTCCGTTGAGTTTCAGTCATTTAGGCATTCATTTATTTTTAATGTGCTGTGTCGAACTTGTGTGGAATCTTCCATTACGTTAGACGTAGTGGGGTTTCTTTCTGTTATTAATAAACATGTTTGGTGTCGATAATTTACTGAGGATAAAAGCTCAAAATTATTAGTTTGAATTAATGTCCGAAAGGTTTTCTTTAAGTACTACAGAAAGAGGAAAAAAGTTGCATTGTTACATTGACACGAGTTTAGAATTATACTGAAAAATATATTGATAATTTTCTGAATTAAGAATCATGCCTATGTAGGGTATACAGACCCATATATTGCATTGCTTTTTATCATGGTATTAACAAAGAAGGTTATTAAGCATAATTGTTCATATCCAGATCACCTAAAAAGTGTTTTTGAAAACTCAGGTAATTAATTAAGGTGAATGAATTAATTTGATTTTTTTCCTCAACATTTAAGCAAAAAATTTAAGACCAATTGTCAGATATAAAAAAAAATTGTGTTTGTGAAAATATTCCCAGGTGTTTTTGATTTTACTCCCACTCTTCATAAGAGCCGGAGATCATTTATCAGTTCCATAGTGGTAATATAGATAAGCAGTGTTCAATAAGTTGTTGGTAAATAAGTAAATAGGGATAAAATTAGCCTTGGTAGGAATTATACAACTTCTCTGGTGATAAATGTTTTATATTTCCCTGAAAGTTTGTTTTGACTGCCAGCTGTCAGGTATACATTTAGGACTGCTTTCATTCAACAGTGTTTTAAGGATCTAAGGCCGCATTCAGAACAGTGGACTAACTAGTCCGCGGGTCACATATGGCCGACCCACTTGAATACTTCCCCATGGGGAATCTATTCAGTGTCTGTTAGTGGATTAGATGACAAGCTTTTAAGTGGGTCGCCGTATTTGACCCGCAGACTAGTTAGTCCACTGTACTGAATTCATGTGGCCTAAGTGATCAGTAGGGTTCTTTCCCTTAAAATAAGAGAAAAAAATTCTTGAGAAGATTAGGTATCTTGTCAGTGAACATTTAATTTGACATCAGTAGCATGTAGAAGTAACTTCAAAAAGAGCTAGTGTTTTGTACATTTCTCATTCTTGTATCAGGTCAGTTTGAAAACCTTTCGAATGCCACATCATGCCTTCATTGTTCATCGTTCTTTTACATTAGCAGCATTTTTTTTCTCACTTTTGCATTAGTTAGTTGGGGTCTCCGGAAGATGCCATCCATAAAACTCAATCAGTGTGGTCTAACCTATTGAAGTGGTATCAGTTTGAATGGCTACACCTGAAATTTGCTTTTTCCAGTTCATGTAGACCATGTGTTATTCTGGACTCTGTACCCCCATGATAATACCTGTATACTTTAGAGTGGGAACAGTTGTAGTGCTATACAGTGCACAAGCCGGGGAATTTTGTGGTAATTGCTCTCTAAAACCAAAACAAAACATGTAAGGATTTCCTTGTAATAATTATTTTGAATATTAATACTTGGAAAAGGATGACTAAGAGAGTTTGAAAAGCAGGAAGTATGTTAATCGTAATTTATAAAGTGATTAAATCCTGAAATCTGGATTTATGGACATTGTATTTATGCCTTCTGAGTGATTACAAAACTGGAGAAAATGAAGTATTTGGAGGTGGTTGGACTCTGTTATTGGGCCATTCCGTGGTATTTGTGTCCTGGGCATAAAATTTTCAAATGTACAAAAATCAATCGAAAGTTGCATTTTCTGAAAGAAGAGACTTCAGGGGATAAGAATTTGTAAAAGATTTACCTGTATTTTTGGAATTCATGATTTTATAGCGCGTTATACTTGAAAAATGTGAAAATTAGCATTACGGACGGAATTTTTTATTTTTTGCATATAACACTCAAAATATATTTTAATCAATATCTTTCAATTGAGACATAAATAACAGCAATTCCTTGAGGTAAACACATAAAAAATCAAGTGAAATCTTAAAAAAAATAGTTAATTAATCATTAATCCAAAGTCGTTTTTTCCGTCCGTAATGATTTGGGCTCTATTTTTTAAGTTTTTTTAAAGACTACTTGGCAAAAAAAAATTTTCCTTTCATATTCTCCTCACACTAGTCCTATGTTTACCAAATATCCAAAAAAATTGTTTTAAACATGTTTGATTGACAAATTAATTTCATAATAAAAAATCATTACGGACGGAAAATTAGCATTACGGACAGAAAGGCATAGCTACCTGGCTATAACATTTCTACTGAGTGGTTTCATGTGGCATGCTCAAGTAATAGATGTATGAATTTTAAAACTAAAGAACTGTTTCCCTTATAAAGGTTAATTTAAAAAAAAAAAGATTATTCAAAAATGCAGGATTTAAAGTCAAAAAGTGCTTTTTCTTACCTGGCAAGACTTGTCAACATCTGTCTCACTTGTCAATTAGTGGCATTTGAATTGCACCTTAAGGATCACTTATGATCATGGCTTCTCCTGGATATTTTCAGTTACTTTGATTGCAATTTGAAGATAAAATGTGCTTCTGATCACTTACCTGTCATATTCATGTTGCATATACCTGGGAGATGAGCAGTTAAGATAATTACTGACCGCAATTAATCAAAGCTGACTAGAGGCCAGTCTTTTGTTTTGGCAACATGCCACTTACCTGAAATTATCCTATGTCCTGGTTCAGAGA